TAAATAAAATAATTAAATTAAATTAAATTAAAAATAAATAAATTAAACTACCAGTTTAAATACCACGTTCTCAGTTATATCAACAGAAATAATGGTTAATACTTTGAAGTGTTATACTGTTTTTAATGCTTATTGTGAAAATAGTCACTTTCACTCTTCCTTGAAAGATGCCCTCTTAAAAATATATGTTGGCATTACAATTGAGAGGCCCAAACTACTTCCAAGTGAAAGGTAACAGAATTACTCTTCTTTCACATCTGTATGGTAATACTGGTTAACAGAAAAACTACCCTGCTCAGTGTCAGATGTCATGGTGTACTTAGTTTCTGTGGCTCTGATTTGCCATGAGCTTTGTCTGCTCAGTGCTTATCACATGGTTCTTAGCCCGTTATTTTACACTCTGTCCGTATTTTTTTCTGTTCCACCATCTAACAAGTGACTTAAATATTGTCATAGGCTTTCATGTTGTAGACTGAAGAGTTGTGTCATAAATGACTGTTTCTTTAGTGTTCATTAGGTGCAGTAAGACTAGAAGTCGGGAGAATAAAAGCTGGTCCATTCCACTCTGAGAGGAGAACATCCCAGAGCAGCCAGGTGTGTAACTGTAAAACTGTGTAGTTTGGAAGAAATAAAATGTGGTTAAATAAGCAAATAAAAATAATTGGTTTTATGATGACAATTATTTTGCACATACCTGATCCAAGATTAAGAAAAGTAGGGGTTTTTGTGTACTTTGCAGCTTTTCGGTAACCATTTTATGTGTTCACTTTAGCATATTATGTCTGTTAAAGACATGATTGAGCCAAAAATGCATTCAAGAAATGGCTGTGCTGTGTTGCCTGGTCTGTTTTTTATGGCTCCAACCTGGGAAGCAGAGAGAGCTCTTATTCTCATTGATACCATAAGAAGTTGGAGTGGGCTTTAAGCCTCCTTGTTACTTTAGGAGTGGCATGCAATGGAGTATAGTTTCAGTAAACTTAGTGAATTTCTCCACCCCTTGCATATTGTTACCGTAATCTTGGTAATCAGAAGCAGGAAGCCTGCACCCTTTCCATCAGACTTCTCTCAAGTTTATTTATTTTATGGTTGGTCTAATGGCGAAGTGTTACAAACTCATGTCAGTTTCTGCGTTTGAATACATCCTTCATGTGATGGCAGCTCACATAGTGATTCTCTCCACTAGGAGCTATATTTCTGAGAGCTCACAAGTTGCCTTAGAACTTTCTCTGGTTATAAACCGGATATGCAGATCATCAAGTACTGAAGATAAATAGTTTTAAGATGAATCATAATTAAAGAGTTTCAAGTGAGCAGGTTAAGACTGGGTAAGACTGAAGTGCTAGACTCTGTTCAAAATGGGTAGTACGAAACGAGATTAAAACCTGCAGGCTCTGGGCAGTTTTAATCTAAACTGTTAAGTAAAAAGAAGCTCACAATGTTGAATTTTTTGAAGAGTCTTTAACAGTCAGCAAACTAGTCTCACTGGGAGCCATGTTGTTCCTTTACATGGTCCTGCAGGTATAATGAAAATCTTTCTGGAAATTGTGCAGGTGAAGCTGAGTGGAAAGCCTAATATGGTGGAGTGGGTGAACATGAGAGTACACATCAGGATGTATAAAGATTCTGCCCCTACCTTGATAATCATGGCAAATGTTTGCACCAGAAGATCTCTGTGAGGTGATAGAAGGTGCAAATATAAGGGCATGGTCTGGCCCTCAGAAGCAGCACTTCAAAGTGTTTTGTGGGGTTGTAGGCATGCAATCTTTGTTGGTTTAAGTTTCGAACAAGAAGCCCTCTAGAATGACTAAGAAATATGTGAAGGTTCACTGTGTCGGCTTTAACTGGGCACAGAAAAAGTACAATACAGCAAAATCCACTGAATACAGTGGGTTAGAATTTTACTTTTATCAATTGGGTGTCTGACGCTGCTCTCTAATCCCAGTCTAACACTGTATTTAGGTCAGTGAAGTAAGTGGCAGCCTCTCATCATTCAGTTTCCCAGCTTCTGGATCCAGTGCACCTGATGTCTTTGAAAGCGGTCTGAAGAAGAATGCCAGTAAGGCTTCTTTGGTGTTTTCAGTGTTTCATACATGTGAAATGGTAGCTGAGACCTTTCACTTTCTCTAAAATGTTGTTACTATGTGCTCTGGGCCTGAAAGTGATTCCTTAGTCATTAAAAGACTGCAGGGGTGGTTCCGATCTTTGAACAACTTTTTCTAAAAGAAACTAGCAGCTTGTTATACCAGCAGTTTAGATGTTAAGAATTGAAGTTGAGCCTTAATTTTCTGTGTAATCTAGACATGTCTTCAGTCCGGATACTGTATAGTTAAATGAGAGTAGATGTGAAATAGCTTTCTCGTGCTCATATTTAGAACAAAGTTACTTCTAACCAAAGTATGGCTAGCAAATAATAGTTTTTCTTATTCTCTTTGAACATGCTTAGCAGTCTTATTCCAAAAGTTATTTAAATAGAGAGAATAAATGACTTTTTCACCTATTCTAAAAATATTTCAATCCTGTTAATTTAATGACAGCCACTTTCAAAATCTGCTTAAAACATATACCTGTAATAAACCAGCAGAAAATTAGAATCTTTAATGGTAAAGTTTCCTAAAAATGCTATTTTAACCTTTTTTTTTTTGTTTAAAATTAATTTGACAGCAGCTTCTGAAATACAAGGACTAAGAACAGTTGAAATAAAAAAGGTAAGTTACAGCATGAATAGGTGTGTATCAGGAACAGGTTTTGTAGATGTCATCAATAGGTCTGTTTACAGAAAGGAAGAAGTCTCACCCTGTTAATCATTTTGAGAGGAATTGATGTGGCAATAGCTAATTAATTTACCTGTCTTTTCAGATCAAGATTGTATACTCTCCACTGCCTATGTTTTTATGTGAAATCAATGCGATTTATGCTATTACATTTTGTGGTCTGTTTTGAAAGCAAAAGGAGGAAGGATTAATAAGAGATAATGGGACCTAGTTTTACTGTTACTAAAGTGAGTTAAATCCAGGCTCTGTTATAGTGAAGTCAAGGGAACTGTACTGAAGTTGCAAGCCCATTGTTTTGTATTTCGTATTTTTCCTCAAACATATTTTTAATAGCTAGGCTCTTACATGACAGCTTCTTGGTTTTCAACTATGAAATTCAGTCAAATTCCTCATTTACAAGAGTGAGATCTGAGTCACAGGCTGCTTCTGATTATATGTATATGTATTTGACTTTGCCTGGCATCTAGGTCACTTGATTACATGGATTGTGTTTAGCCATTCACTTTTTACAGTAGGATCTTCAAATACCAGTTTACAATAGCAGTTTTTGCACTTAGGTAGTAGGATGTTGTGTAGAAGTGAACACAGCTTTTTTTGTTCTTCAACAATAGGACACTAGAGGGAGCATAAAGATTAATTCTAGTGTTTGGGAGGTTCATAATAGAAGATTGATTTAGACAGTATTACGGACAAGCAATCCGATCTGTCTAGTTTTCCTTGCCCAGACTTTCTATGCTGACGTTAAAGGTCTGATGCCAAATTCTGTATTTAGTGTGGTTAATATAAACATACAATTAAGTCAGCAAATTGTCATGTACCACTGATAGGAAGAAACATATATTGTGCTCTCTGTGCTTTCTTGAAATGAGGCAAAGTGTATTAGCTTAAAAGATGGCTTGAGACATAGGAATTCTGATTTTTGTAAGATAGAGGCTTTAGCAGTTTTTTGAGATAAGCCTACAATTCTCTGTATGTGTTTTTCTTTCCAGAAAAATCTAATATTTTTTCATTACAATAACAGGGCCCTGCAGATTCACTAGGAGTGAGCATTGCTGGAGGTGTAGGAAGTCCTCTTGGAGATGTTCCTATATTTATAGCCATGATGCATCCAAATGGACTTGCAGCTCAGACTCAGAAACTCAGAGTAAGTTAATTGTTAAGGCTGTAAAAATTGCCTAGGTAGTGCACAGTAATTACTCTATGCAGGCAATAAATTAGCAGTTTCATGATACAGTCATAAGTGCTTCTGGCTGTGACAAGAATTTTTGCTGTTTGGATTGATGAAACAGTAACTTAGTTTGGTAGTATGGTAATTATCTTTCATCCTGAAGGTAGGATGGGGAAGAAAGTCCTAAAGCAATCTTGGATCATAGAGGTAGTCAGCTTGTGAAAATTAAAAGTAGAGACAGTGGTTCAGAGTGACGGATTCTGTAAGTGAGCTCCACTGATGACCATGATGGTCGTTCCTGCAACTGTATGCCTGTAGTCTGTTTTATGTCTTCTGTTTTCTATGCTTATCTGTCTTAGGATAGAGATAGTACTTTTTAGGTTCTGAGTTAAAGTGGGCAGTGTCATCTGATACAGCATTTACATGTGTGCTGTATCCAGTCTGTACCAGCGATGGCTGAATTTGACTTACGCTCCTTGGAAGATGAACAGTGTTATTTCAGGATGAATTCAAACATGTAATCATTGATGGTAATTTACTACTTCAGTCTATCTTGAGGTGACGTGCAGTGCACCTCTTTTTTTACATGCAGTATGTTTCAAAAGAATTAGGATCAATTCTGTAAAGCATCATTACTTTCTTACACTAAACCAGTGTCATTTTTCGATTGTCATGTTGAATTTTCTACCTTTGTATTGGGTCACTATGTAGTTCAAAGATGATTTGCCTTCAAGACAAAATATACTGTGAACAGTTGCTAATTTCTTTCTTCTTGCCCCATACCACTGATAAAGTCTGGCTAATTACAAATGCACAGATCTGCTATTGTTGAGAGAAAGTGACAAATAAATCTGTGTAACTAAGTTAGTTTTTCTACATTTTCTTCTTCAGGTTGGAGACAGGATTGTTAGCATCTGTGGAACATCTACTGAGGGCATGACTCACTCTCAAGCTGTTAGTCTCTTAAAAAATGCTTCAGGCACTATTGAGTTGCAGGTAAAAATCTCCACTGACTTTTGGAATATTTTCTGAATACTGTTTTGCCAGCTGCTACAATGAATTATTTTAGTGTCAGCATTCTCATTTTACTGGTGTACGAACTCTGTTCCTAGGTTGTATCTGGAGGAGAAGTAAGTGTCATAACTGGTCATCAGCAGGATCCACCTACGTCCAATCTTTCGTTTGCAGGACTAACTTCAACCAGCATTTTTCAGGATGATTTAGGGTCAGTAACTGTAGAATATGCAACCTCTGTAGCCTGTTGTTTTAGGTGGAACTCAACCTAAAAAGCTTACAAATTCTAGCAAATAATGGATGAATTGTTTGACTTTATCATGACTTGCACATTTGGTATCCATGGGACCTGTAGGCCCATGGTCTGCTACATTTCTCCATATGTGATTTGCTGTGCTACTTTTTGCTCCTCTGTAGAGTTATGATGTGATTTGATTTCTTCTCTGTAAATAAGCCTGCTTTGTTTCACTGAGCCTTGGTTGCTGGGATTAATTGATACACCCAAAATGTTTTTTTCTCAGACTTAAATAACAAGGCCCGTTCCAGAGTGGTACCTGAGTTTCCATAACGTGCTTTCTAGCATGGGCCTATCAGGAGTGTTGAACTTTTCTGGTACACAAAGTATACTGCTTCTGGTATGCTGCAAGGTACAGCTATGTAAATAAGTTTTGCCTCAAACTTGTGTCATAAACCTGAGGCATTTTTCTTTTAGGACAGGGAAGGAGAGAATGAGGTTTTTAAAACACACAGATCTACTTTAAAAGATAGAACAAAATTTCTTGAAGTATATGTGGGGGAATAAACGGTCTGTATAAATTCATACATACAAATACACAGTCATATATTAGGGGAGGAGAGAAGCAAGTAAACCTTGCAACATAAAGATAAAGTATTTGGGCTAATTTTAGATGTTTTTTAGGAGGTGTAGTGAGTTACAGGATTTTTAAAGTAGATGTTTGTTATGGAGATTTGAGGTGCTGGCGTTGCATCTCCATTGTTAAGCACTGTTAGTGGGGCATTGCAGCCATAACTATGCCCTGAGCTGGATGGAAGAGGTGTTTGAAATAGTTATCTTGAAGTAATAATGAGTGCATTAGAATGTTACAGTGTTTTACATCAACTAAAATAACCAGTTCGTTTGTAGTTATAGTGGACAGGAAAATGTATTGCCTAGCTTGAAAGGAAACTTGTTTTTGTTGAATATTCTACATGCTAAATCATAAGTTCAGACAACATCACAGTACTCTTCTTCCTTTTCTTAGACCTCCTCAGTACAAGACCATTACTTTGGATAGAGGACCAGATGGCCTAGGCTTCAGTATTGTGGGTGGTTATGGCAGTCCCCATGGAGACTTACCCATTTATGTGAAGACGGTGTTTGCAAAGGTAGTGTAAATCTGTTCAGTCAATTCATTTATTAATTAGTTCACAGCAGCTACTTTCTTAAATCATGGCCTGAGTATGAAGCCATAGGGTTGTTACAATTTCTAACAGCTTCTCTGCCTTAGTCAAAGTGCTGGTCAAAATGTGCTTGCAGCATTTGAAGGCTGTAGTCTTAGGAAGATTCAGAATTTCAAAATGCATGTGACTATGCATATGAGAGAGTCTTCTTCAACTCTCAAAACTGAAATTGTGCACATACTTATAAAAACAACCCCTTTGTCTTATGTATAGAGTATCTTTTCTTCAGGTAGTAGAAGGGACTGTTTTATTTATTTTGACTGAGAGTCTCAAAGGTAGACCAAGATAAAATAGTTGAACCCAGTCTGAACCTTTGGAGAAGTTCAGGTACTGACTTGGATTTGATAGTTTGGACTGCCCGAGGAAACAGCCCTGAGTGAGAAAAAACTGATATCAAGAATCCCAAACTTTTCTGGTAAATCAAAGTATGGAGCTGGGTTTTGATTACTGAATTTCTTATACCAGTTGCTGAGAGCTTCTTCAGGTCTTGAAAATCTTACTTCTATGGTAGTAGAGTTTAAATGTTATACTAGCTGGATGAACAGGGCTCAGGGAATATAAAAATCCTGTAGATCCGATTTGCAGATGTTGTGAAACTTAGGGAGGACAGGGCATACTACAGCACTAAAATAAAAGAAGTTTTAAGGGCTTTTGTGTACTTAACCTGTCTTATTCAGACCATAAAGACAGATGTGCCAGGAAGAAAAAGAAATGCATGAGTCTGCAGTTACGTGTTGTATCGTTTCAGGGTGCAGCAGCAGAAGATGGACGCCTGAAGAGAGGGGATCAAATCATTGCTGTGAATGGGCAAAGTTTAGAAGGGGTGACCCATGAGGAAGCAGTTGCTATTCTGAAAAGGACAAAAGGAACAGTCACGTTGACTGTTTTGTCATGAACTGGCTGCCCAAATGGGTAGGGTCAATGAGACTATGTTATTTACATTCTGCATAGCAAAGAGAATGGAAATGTTTATATAGCCTTCTTGCTCTTCCAGCTTCACAGGATTGTTACAACAGTGAGGAAAAATAACATTTAATGCTATTTTTATATACAATAGAAGTATTTCTCTTACTGTCAAACCACTGGGATGGAGTTATGTCAACTATGGAAAGACAGGGATATTTTTCCTATTAGTGTTATAATGCATGCTTCTAAGCCACCAAAAAAAAGAGGAACATTTGCATTAATAACCACACAACAAAACTGTAATGTTTTGCTAAGAGGCTTTAGACATTTGAAATATGTTGGAAAAATTATAGTCACCAAGTCAGCAAGGGGGTAGCATAAGAAGCAGAAAACAGAAATAAGGCTATTAAAGAAAGAAAGTATTTACAAAATATAGAATTTTGGGAAAAGACGGAAAAGTATGTAAACTGGAGGCAGATGATTAGTGGATGTAGATGGTTATTTGTATTATTTCACAGTGCCCCAAGTAGAAGGAGCTCGGAGGGTGACTTGGGTGGGTTTGTTTGCTTGTCTGTTTGTGTGTTTAAATTTCCTAAGTCATGGTGTATCCAAAAAAAAAGAAAACTGTGTTTTAGTTTGGCTTAGGTTTGAGGGTTTGGTTTGTTTTTTGGTTGTTTTTGGGGTTTTTTTTGTTTTTGAGGCAGGGGAGTGTGTGTGTTTGTTTTGAAAGGAGAGGACTTGTGCTCAGGGCTGAAAAATCTGTTTGCTAGTGGAAACTACTCTTGGTGAATGAGGGTGCCCAGCAACTGCAGTATTAGAACTAGACTTTTATAATAGTAGTGTTTTCTAGTTTATATGGGTGTGAAAGTGAACTTCCCAATGTGAAATGTGTGTAAGCAAAGGTTGTCCTCTTACAGTGTGCAAGATTAGCTACAGGTTCAGTGCAGATGTTTCTGCAAGCAGCTTGAATCAGAGCTGTGAACAAACCACTCAGGGCAGGCTCACTTAGCTGCAGACACTTGTGGATATTGGTTAAGCCAAGGTGGAAGAAGTTGATATTACGATGTTGCTGCCATTATCAGTAGCAGCAGAGTCCTCCTTGGACTGAGGGGGCCTAAAACTAGGAGCTGAGGTTGGGGGGTGGGTAAAAGGCTGAAAATCTCTTGTAGTGGAGGAGAGTAGTAAAACAGCAGTGAAGGTATTTCTGCATCAGCATTAAGCAGAAACAGAGATTTGAGGGCCACAAATACTGTTTTATGGCTATTAATTTTAGAGGCACAAACACAAGTATGATGCAACATGGAGCTGTTTCTGGGCAGCAGTGTGGTCAATACATTTATCAACATCCTCAGTTTCTTAAGTTGGTATCCTCACTAAAACTTTTATCCAAAAACCACACTCACTGAAACCCTTAGCTGATTGTAGCCTGCCTTTGCCTTTGTTCCTTCAAACTGACTCATAGCAATTTGGCAGATAAAGCACACTTTGCCTGTGATTTAACTTCCTGCAAAAAAATTTTGGGAAGTCTTTTGAGGGAAGAAGATACCTAGGCAAATTAGCATGCTAGTTACCAGCAAGACCCTTTGTGTTGATTAGCAAAAAAAAAATGTGGCAAAAAGGCCACCATGTCAGCTGTCATTTAAGAGAAATCTGAACTGAAAATGCCAGCGATGGTCAGGCCCTTATTAGGGGTTGATGCAAAAAACTAGCATTTCTTTCAGTGGGACACAAAAACAGTATTAGGAATGTCTGTGAAATAGTATTAACAAATCGATAGCTAGGTCTAAGTGAATTAACTAAAAAGAGTACCCTCTTTGACTCTTTAACTGTTCTAGAAGTTACACTGTGATAAGCTAAAATGAAAAAAAGCAAATGGTACCGTTACTGGATGCTGTTATTGAATTGCTCTTCTATACTTATTCTTCGGTTAGTGTGAGAAATGCCTACATTAGAGATGTAAATTCACTTTAAATAGTATCTATATTTGTAACAGAAGTAGTGTATAGATATTTAGTTACTGCTGTTGTGTCTAAATGGAGCATTTAAGTGAATATAAAGTTCCAAACTGTCATGATGGAAAAATAAAGTTACAGGTGTGTTTCTGGTTGCTTCACAATGTCCTGTTTGCGTTGTTCATTTTGTTGTGAAAGATTAATTCAAAAAACTTTAAATTAATAACAAAGAAGTGGCATTATTTTTTATGTGAACCTTAAAGCATCTGCTAAAAATTGCTTTATTTGTATTTTAAGATTTATCTTCACTTGCAAACTCTTAGGAAATCCATGAGACCAGATAACAAAGCTATCTGGGAATTAATATGAAACTGCCTTGCTTTTTTGAAACAGACAATATTAATCATTGTTCAGTGTGTTTAAAAAGCTTTTCTTCAGGCATGGCACTTGACATGTGGGATCAAAACAGTGAGCCATGGGGCCTGGGAGTTTGCTTTTACCTGTGACCCATGCTGCTGCTTCAGAGCTCAAGATCTTCCCTGAGCCCGATGCGAGGAAAGCTGTTGCATAACCACTGCTTAGTGGCTGCCAGGCACTGGACCATGAGGTGTAATAAACTTTGCAGGCTTAGGGTGTTGGGTTTTCTTTCTCATTTGGGATTCAGTGCAACTTCTGTATCGCAAGGGTTAGTCCTATAAGGTGCTAGGTGCTATGGACCGAGTTCCACCGAGTCTTCCATTTTTGGTTACATTTTTTCTGTATGACTGTGTTACCTGTGGGACTTGACAGGGCTGGAGTTGGAAGGCCTGTCCATATTTGTAAGCATAGGCCTGGACAAAGGACAGCGGGCTCATGGGAATGCACATAGTTCATTCCTTGTCAGTGAGCAGGTATCATTGGCATGGCTGCTTTCCTGGTGATTCCTCTGCTGGGTTTTATTTCTGGGTTAGCTTTGTGGAAGCAATGGTATTGGTAGTTCTCAGTTGGGAGAGTTGGTGGAATTTAGTAGCCTTTGAGGATCCCCTTCCCTTCACCCTATCCAGCCTCTTTTTAAAAGAAAAAAAAAGCTGTGTATTAGGTAGACCTACATGGACTTACCTAAAAAAAACCCCAAACCTAAAAAAAAAAAAAAGCTGTCATCTTTATTTTTTAGTGGCAGAAAGATGTTTTCTCTGACAGAGGCTTGCAAGTAATGTGTAGGAACTTACTATTTTTAATCATGTTTTGCAAAGAAAGCCTTATCTCAAAGTGAGAGTGACATTGGAAGGAGGATGGTAGTGGTTTCCCACACACATTTTTCTCGGTTTTTAAAGCCAAATTCTTTGAAGCATCTAAAATATTAATGTGTAGGGAGCACTTCTGTCTTAGGCACCACTTGAAACTACTAAGAATGGATTTCCTTTACAAATGCTATTTAAAAATGTGAACACTGTTGTCCTTAGCACATTCAACACCTGCAGTGTATATATAAACTGGTTTTATTTCTTTCTGACTTGGAGGTTGTGCGTCTTCCTCAGCAGCTGTGTAGATCTTGATTTTAGTGTGTTTTAGTTCACAGCCATAGCTGCAAGGTTATGTGTTAGCTTGTGAGCTTGTGCCACTGATATTCAGGAAAATGCTAACAGTGTTAGGTTAGACTGATCCATTTAAAGTACTTCAGAAGAGTATGCCTACTGATGGAAGATGATGCCCAAGTAGATAGAGGTTCTTAACTTCTTGCCATGTTTTTTCATTATCGTGTGATAAAATATTCCACAATAATATTGAACTTTCTACTCCCAGTGAAAATCATCATGTGAAATGGGAAGAAAAAAAAAAAAATGTGTTGCCACTCTTATTTCAGTAGAAAGAAGAGAATAGTTTCTGATAAACTACTAATCCTGAAAGCTGTGGTATATCTCAGTTAAACATAAGAGAATTATCCAAACTGGATTAATAATTTTTAACTCAAGATTTTTTGTTAAGTTGCACCTGGAAGTTGTTTTTAGAAAGTGAACCAAGTAGGCTTTCACTTAGTCTTTCTCATCAAGCTACTTTCTGATCAGTCCATTTTTTTGATCTTCAGATAGGTAGTTTAAATACATAACTTTTTTTACTACCTAAAGGGAGTGTTTGAATCACATATAGTAAATCTTATCTGTGTTCTTACCTGGGAGTGGTACACGAGCTATTTTAAGTGCTCACTGTTAGTTGTCCAGTTTACCTGTAGGCAGATAGATTAAAGGTTTTTGTCTAAGATAGGAGGCTTCAGAGTTTTTGGTACTTGTTAATGTTTCTGGTATTTCAGCCTTTGGCAGTTTATTAGTTAAGATTACACGTTATTATAATAGAATCATAGAATGGCCTG